GAGCGGTGTCATTTACTTTAGTTCTCCTATTTATTATTATTTTAAATTTTTGGGGCTATGCAGTCCTAATCGGTCTGTAGTCACTGCGACCTATAAAATCTATTGTGACTCCCCACAAAGTTAAAGTATGTCCTTTAGCTCGACAGCTTCCAAGAAGCTCAAGATGTTTTTAGAGATTTAATTTCCTCTGGGCGTGTTATATGACGCCCTAAATGAATACTACGTTTGTGGATGAGCGGCCCACATGCACATAGAAGGTGTTTTGGTGTTTCTCGCTCCTGATTACAGCATCTGCAAACATCAGTGACACTCAATTTCATATGAAATTGTTGTCTGTTGAGTTTGCAGTGCCCAGTTAAGGCTCTTTCGATAGCACGGGTGTTTTTGCCTGCTAAATTATATTAACTCAACAGTCCGTTTTCGAGTAACCCTCTATCAGTGATTTAGCGTGCTTAAATCCTGGTTTGCTTAAGTATTTTATTTCCAGGTTATTCAGTTTATCAACGCAGACTTTCACTGATTTTGAGCGTATCGTGTTCGAGTTAATGGCGTTAAGAGCTGCTTGGCTATCTGAAAAGATATACATATATGGCCTGGTTTGCGTAGTTTCTTTGACGATTGGCTTCTGCACATTCTATGATGGCATTAATCTCTGCCTGGAATATAGTAGCATGATTTCCGAGATTCACGCTTTTGTTGAATGGCGGCCTTTCACCGTATATTCCACATCCTACATTTGACCCATTTTGGAGCCGTCTGTAAACCAGATTAGACTTCCAGCCTTGCCAGATTCATAGTCGTTTGACTACGTTAATCTGCTTGGCAGTTCCACCATGTGATTTCTGCTAAAATTACTCAGTGGAAGTATGACATCTGTAGTCATTGCGCTAGGTAGGTTCAAGCCTGTTTGGTGGAGATACCTCAGTGCTTGAGAGTGACAGTTCGTCCTGCCAGTAGTGCTTACTTTGTATATATTTGCTTTCGCTTCTTTTATTATGAATAAATGAAGAGGTGGTATGTTTCGCAAAGCATTAAGTGCAGCACCTGGCGTTGAAGACATAGCAGACATAAGGCATGCTATTCTTTACAAGAAATGAAGAGAACCTCTCTTAGTTAGATTCTATTTCTCTGTGAAATACCAAAGCATCGTGCTTGTTATGGTTCACTACCTAGCCTTGAACGTTTTTATGAGACGCGGATTACAATGTTCAGAATATTTACCATTTGAACAGGCTTTGACACTAATGTCCTTATATTGCTTACATTACATATTATTTTGTTATAGCCAACAATTAATTTCCGATCGCAATTGTAAGTGATGGCAGTGTTGCTTGAAAACTTAACTGACATATGATCGCTTACTCTTATCTCCTATTACAGTAAATTTATAAAATAGAAGAATGATTTATAAAACATGTATCTTAATTATCTTTGTTCATATTTTTATCGTTTGTAGAATTTTTGAGAGGAAAAATAGCGCTAGAAGTTCTTATTTATATTAGATTATATGCTCCGCCGTGTTGGTTTGGTTTTAGGCCAGCACGCGTTAGAATCGAATTGTAAATTGTAATTGAATTATATTTTTTTTGTGGTGAGCTGACGTCATTGAACGTAAACTACTTGGGACTGTTTTGTGGGGACTGTTCAAAGTAGAACTTCGTGTACCATAGGCCCCCTGTCTTTCATATTCCCATTTTTCCTCTCTTCTCCCTTCCGGGTGAGCGACGGCTTCCTCTTATTTTCTCTTCTTGCAGCTACCAGCGAGGGTGCGTAGAAACGCACCCTGCTGTCACGCCGTGACAGACGACGGTTAAGGTGTAATAAAACTTAAGCATTTCTATTCTTTTTGATTGATTTTATAGCTTTACTAGCTTTTGCCCGCGACATCTCCCGTTTGTTTTTAGTGATTCAGGCGGCAATTTTTTACCAAATATGCTTTTTTATCAATCAAACTTAACTATTTAAAGAATATAAAGTTAGTGGTTTTATGTCAAATTTGGATTAATTTTAAATTAAAAAAGCGGGTCATTCCCGGCGCAATACAATAAGTGCAATTCAAGTTACAGTTTTATTGGAAATAATTAATAATTTGGTATGTACTGGATAATACCTGGTACAAACACTGTTTCTCCCTGAGCAGGTCCGGTCAAAATTGTGAAGTCTATTATGTTCCGGTGCAAAGCTTTGACTTGCAACCTAGAGCCCTTGCAGTTTGGGTGGCTTTAAATTTCTTAATAACATAATATAACTTAATACCCACACGCAGTGTGGTATGGCCGACACCGGGTCTGCCAAAGTTCAAAGTGTTTAAGAACTCTACCCCAGGATAGAATTTCAAAAATCTAGATACATGTTATTCTTTAGTTCTCAAGTATAAATACTGAGTTTTGAGTAAATCGAATGCGCGCTAAAATTTATTAATATAAAAAACTTTGGCACCCTCCAGTACCCCCTTTAGGAGTAATTTTGGCAAACCAAAAATGGCAAACATTATTATTTATTCATAGAAGTATTCGTATTAAGTTTTAATTCTATTAACTCAAATAATAAGATTTTTCATACAAACGTGGATGACCACTATTTTACCCTCTAAGGGGGCTAATTTAGAAAAATCCTTTTTTAGTGCACCTCTTGACCTCATAAGGAACCTACATGCCAAATGACAATGCCAGATTCTGACCCACCACTAACAGTAAAATTAAATTTATGAAAAAATATATACGATTTTATTTCTCGTACTGATTTAATTATTACTTTGTAAAACTTTCGGATACAAAATAAATATTAAAATGTGTACCTACTTTTTCCGTTAGGAGAAAACCGAAAACATGGCATATGCGTTTTGTTGCATCACAGACAATAAAATATCAATCAAGTTTTCTAAAAATATCGTTCTCTTTTTTAACATTATGCATCTCATACGCATTTGGTTTATAACTATTATTAATTTATAAAAAAGTTTAACAATTCTAGTACCTTTTATTTTTTATGCACATACACATTATTAAGTGGTAGTACCTATGTGATTAATACCCTTTTGTTTGACATTTCCTTTTCTTATGACTGTGGTGCGTTGCGACGTGGTTGCGACAAAGTAAACAAAATGAAACGAAGAAGAATCGGGTGTTTTGGAAAATCATTACGACTTTTGCTTTTGAATACGGAATCGACCATGCCTTATATACGACCTTGTGGCTTTGTTTTTAGGATACCGATTTATTGTTTGTGGTTTGGAAGCATTTTGAGATGCATAAATTGCTATTTATAAGGCATGTAGTTTGTACACTATCAGCTACAATGCGGACACTGTTGAATAGATACACCCGCAGCGTTCTTAGATAATTATTGATATCACTAGACGAGAAAATGATATAAAGTTAAAATGAGTGTTTTATTTTTTAAACAATGACAAATCTTTAACAAGTATTAGTAATAATAATACACCGATACCGATATAAAATACTTCACTATGACACTATTTGTTAGCTAGAGGTTTTTCTAGATCTAGAAGATTTCAAAAAGGAACACATTGCTATTGTTGCTTTTATGTGTAGTATGTCTCATGTAGCGAATCTTTCATATTCGTTATTAATACAATTATTAAAACTATGAAGAGAACGATTTGAATGTTTGCCTGTAATGAATAAACTCGGAAACCCTCACAGACTGATAAAAATCAAAAAACAGACGAATAGGTACCTAGAAACTACCTATTCATTAAAGTTATGAAAGCGCCTAATTAATATTTTACAGCAATTCCAATTTTCTGCTCAATTACAGCTCGAGAAACGTATGATAATTGTACTCTTTGTTAGTATATTATTCAATAACCACAAGTTCTAGAGAATTTACAACTTTACTATTTTGATTCCTAATATTACAGCTATCAAATGTCATTTATCGCATTCGTGTACACCAATTTTCTCGGGTGGGTTAAACCTCTATAGAACTTCTGGCATTGTCCTTTGGAGTCTCTAGACTTAGCGGTTTGGGATGTGCTTTGATTTGTCAGTCAGTCAGTTTCTTCTTATATATATTTAAGATTTTGTGTTGCTGTCTAAGCGACACAAAACCCAAGCTGACACCAAATCTTAGCAATGCGGTGCAACACCACAAATGTATGAGAGCTGCTCTGAGCTAATACATTATTATTTTTTCGTGTAGTCGAATTTTAAGAAATTTAGATAGAGTTTGCGGAACATATATAAATGTATGTACGTGTTATATTGATTTATTTCAGTAGGTAGGTAGGTATGTCTTTTTGCATATTATTCACCGAAATACTCTTCAGCAGGTTATGGGCTTATTTTAGGATTTGATATCAACTGTTGATCTATTTAGAATATAGTTGGATATCAGATCATTGTTAGAAATATGTACGTGAAAAATTATGAGGTTGTATTTGTATAAATATTTAAAATAATAATAATATTCAGCATTTGTTACAGAGACTGTACATTTTCCATATTAAAATTATTTATATTTACATTTTGATAATAATAAATCAACTGTTTAGGAACTGTACTGTGAATTTGAGTGAATAGGTACAACTCATAACTACCCTTTCACTTGTCTTGCATAGTTATTTTTCAAGCAACATTGTCATCAACCTTCTGTACAGTATTTGAAAGCTCGACACTATCGGGAATATTTTGAGATACGTAAAGCTATTTTTTTATATTACAAAGCACGCCATATTGTCTTTATTGCGGATACTGTAGCTATTTACAAAATCTTTCGTATTTCGGATCTAAGGCGATTCAATCTAAAACAACGAGTATGAAATACTTACTACCTCATGTAAGTAAATAAATATTTGCAACAGGTATAATATAATAGGTTTATATGACGCAGCGAGCTATAAGAGTTGTTTATAAAAAAAATAGCTAATGCAAATAAAACTGAATGTTTGTAAACATATTTTGTACTGAGTTTAATTTTTCAAACTTGTTGGATTTATGTACAAATTTTTTGATTAATTTTAATCAAAAAATTGTGAACTTATTTTGTCTTATGTAGGGTTATAAGTAGTTTATTGGTTTGATGAAATTATTATAAATAGAGCATAAAAATATTAACTAAAACCTCCATCACAATGGTTATATTTATAGTATCGTCGCCACTTTAAAAGTATAAACTACACCCTATTTATCAGTATTATGCTATAATATGACTGCGGATATGGCACATTAAACATATAAAACTATCAGTCTTTTAAATTGAGAAATAGATATAAATATATTTACAACTTGATACAACAAATAAACGAGATTATAATATAAAAAAAATAACGAATAAGATCTTCGATGTGTTATAACGGCGTTTTATTTTACTATATTTGGTTAATGTGTTTTTTTTATTACTAAACATAAAAATTATATCTTTATTATAATATCTATATATTTACAGCTTCGAGCTGAAATTTACAAAGTATACTCTCTATTTATGAATGTAAAGTTTAGCACATTACATGGCTACATTGGCACTATGATATGGTACAATGGTTAGTACACAGTTTATGTCAGCTGATGATGAGTGATGCCATGATGACTAGGATGCCGCTAGTTATGGCGGCAGAGCCGGAAGATTGAGTCGATTCATAATCTGGTAATTATAAAAAAAGGCTGATTAAGGCCCCGTTGTTTTATCCATAGTTAATTTTGACTATAGTTAATATCACGTCAAATATGTACATAGTAAATGTGTAAAATTTGGACAAATGGTTATTTTTTCTATAGTCAAATTTAACTATGGACAAAACAACGCGGCTTAAGTATCAATAAAATTTACGTAGGTAAAATATTGTTAGTTAAAAAGTTGTTTTCAAATTTTGGTAATTAATATTGAAAGATTTCTTTAATCTTTCAACAATAAAATTTAAATCATTTAAACTTCTAAATTATATTTTCTTTGTGTAATTAGTAACTACTAGCAAACCAGTGAACCAAATGTTCACCAAAACCTGATTTCTCGAAAACCGGAAGTGCTGCGTTACTCAAATCCGGTTTGTAGTCTTATCAGACTATTCTTAACTTATAACTTAAATATTCTCTTTATCTATCTCTTACGGTTTGGCCGCTGAAACAGCACCACGGACAGACGGACTTGTCTAATAGATAAAAGATTCTTCTTGACCATTAACTGTCTTCGTGACCGTACTCCAACATCTACTATCACTGAATGTGCCGGGATAACTCTTCTTACATAAATAAAAAAAATGTCTTATATAAATAAAATTAAATTGAAAGGATCTACCCACCTGAGTCTTTCAATTCTTCAAACTCATAGTCTCCAATGACTCTATTTTCCGCGGAGCTGTCTCGGAAACGATTTTTGTGCTTTCCTGCGAAGGCATTCAAACATATTTATATATAAAATCACATCGAAGGAAAAAAATCACATACGATCTGTTTTGCAACAATAAAAACCTTCCGTTTCTCCCTGACTGACCATGAAAGTGGACTTTCGTACCTCAACGAAACATATGGCGTCATAAAGAATAAGAACGAAAGGCCAAATTTATAACAATACGGGGGCATTGGAAGTCAAAGCCCAAACAAAATCGCTTTCCCCACAATAATATTACTAACGACGCAATTGTACGGAAGCATCGGGTCGCGGCGGCGGCAAAACCAATAAATACAAAATCCAGATCGACCTTTCCGGTCGCTTGCAGGAGGCGATGAATGTATAAAGCGCAAGCTCTCCTCAAATTTTCACTTCTATTGCTTTTCTAATCGCGGTGAACGTGCCAAAATTGAATCGCCGAACTCGCCGGCAGGTAGGCAGGCGGGCAATGCGTTGATCATGAAAAATTAATCCAGAATTCCAAAATTGATCGGATCGAAAAGGGTTACATTAGAAACTTTAGGGCGTTGTTTGGACATTAATTATTTAGATGTCTGAATCAATTTCGTTAAACCTGGTGATATGGGCTATTCGGATAGGTTAGGTATGGGCGTGTTACCTTTCTTCCTTTGCGGATTTGTAGGCACGTAGTTGACTGTGGTGCTCACGGTTGAAGGAGCAGGTATTTCTGCAACAATGTGAATTCAATGCTTATGTGCTTACATTTCAAATAGTAAGGAAACGTAATTATTGATTTTAATCATATCAAAAATAGCAATAGCTTTTATATCTTATTAATAGCGCTTAAGTCGTCAACAAATTGTACTGCAGTTTGGCGACATTGATTCTTTAAAACACATTTGTATTACCTAAAAAAACTACTTAAATAAAACTAAAATTCCTTATTATTGGTACACATATTCAGGTACCTATCCATCTCCATATTAAATGACTAAAGTTTATTATAACTTTGTTCGTAAATTTTCATATTATTCAAAATACGCAGCATCGCGGCATCCATTAATAATTCTGTTTCAACAGATATGACGATGCTAATACATACCATCGAGACGTATGAGCCCATCGGTTTCTCCGAGGGAATTCTTCGCCACGCATCGGTATGACGAGAAGTCCCGCGGTGACACTTTCCGTATCGTTAATTTCATTTTCCTGCTGTAACTGTCGTCGCTCAGCGCCGTGAGGTATTTACTTCCTGTTAGCAAAAAATATGAGAAGAACGTGATCCACTTATAATCAGCCAACGCTAATTATTTAGGTATGTATGTAGGAGTAGCTACTGAGCTAAACCATTCATTTTCATATTTGTTATTGTTTTGATAACTCTCAAGCTACTCAAAAAATACAGAAAATTTACAGCCTTAATTTATATTTTTATAAAATTTTATATAGTATCAAAAATTTGTGTAGATCAATTTGTATATATATACAATACAACTCTTACTGATTGATCTATTAACACACAGCTTAAACCACTTAACGGGTTGCGCTGTAGCACACATAATGGCTATTATGATGTGCTAAGAAAGGATTTTCCTAAACTCGGGGTGAGTTTAGGAAAATCTAAAGGGGTAAAACGGGTGTTTAAAATTTGTATGGGAATCCAATATTTCCATGCAGACGAAGTCATAGACACCCACTAGTTTAACAATTAATATTATCACTTGAAATTTTTCAATATTTGCTAGTTTTTATATAAAGTTTACATTTAAGCAGTACATTCTTCATTTTATGTCTAATATTATGCGTAGAATACAGATTTTCCGCCCTCTTCGCAGTGAAAATCACTAGAAAGATAAGAATTCGACGAAATTCTTTTTAAAAGGCCCGTGGTAATTAAAAACCATTCCAACGATATTCTAATTTTATGGTGAAAGATAGATTGTTTTGAAAAGCTTTTTGTGAGCCAACGCGCCCTGGGAAGTTTAAACGTCCGCGTTTTGTGAGGTAAAAGACTATTGTTAAGGGAGAACAATACTAGTCAAACATCTGTTCAAATGACGTAATTTTTCCGTGCTTTCAAGGTTAAATCAAATTGTTGTGTACAAACCTGAAATTATCATGTCCCCTCGATCGGTAGTCCAGTAATTGATAGAGGAAGGATATGCTTCAGTGTGACACTCTAGAGTCACATCCTGTCCTATATATGCTGCTTCCAATTGATTTGGAATTGACAGCATCGGTGGAACTGCGTGCAAGGAAAAACGGCGTTCATTTATGTTCAGCATTAATACTTGCTGTAGATACAGTTTTTATAACTTAACTGATAAACGCTTGGAGTGCATATTTTGTATTATAAGTGTTACGAATCAACGTATAAGTTATTCTTGTATTTAATGTGAATTAGTTCGTTTTTCTTAGTGGACTGCTTAATAAATATATAAATACTAGCTGATCTGTAGAACCGCCGGAATAAAATTAATGATTATCTTAAAAATTATCTTTATGTTTATTATATTTATGTAATCTTTGAATTTTAAGCTTAGTTAAATAAACGATTTTACAACCAAAATAAAACAAATACAAAAAAAATTGTTAGGATTATTATTAGGATAAATACATAGTTAAAGAGAAAATGAATGACTTCAATGGCGTATCAGCAAAACTTAAAACGAAGTAATTGGATTTTTCGATATTTTAACAGTTATTTTCCTATTCGGTACCGCGGGTGGAAACGAATTTAAAAATTCGGAGCTCATTAAAATCGGTCCAGCCGTTATAAGTACTGTAATTAACACGACTTAGTTTTTTAAATATAGATTTATTAATATAACTATCATTTTGATACTCTTGGCTAAAATTGGGTCATCGTCTTGTCGTTCGTCATTTGGGGTGTTAGCAAAGTTTTCCTGTGTACGTACATGTAGATAAACTGCTGTACATCTATTAATGAACGTATTTTATTAATAATTACTATAAATTGATTAAATTTTTTAAGTATTTTTCATTTATTATTCAGTGTTTATATATTGTATTTTAAATCTAAAGAATATTTTACTAGAAAAATTCCACGCGGTCCAGGCATGAGACAAGATTCAAACTCGCAACGTCCGCTAAAGTGTCGCCGCACACGGACCACCGACCACAACCATAAAACGCCCCCACCGGCATATTTCTTGTAGTTTTCGTACATTTTATATGGACTCGCCACACACGGTACGCCGGTTGCCGCCAGACGCTACAAATCGTCGTTGCTCGCTTCTTGTGGCCCGCACCGGCCACTTAATGCGCCGATACAAAACGCCGCCACACGTCACTCGCGCGATTCCCCACCCCTCTCTTAACTTAGTCGGCCGCTGTCGCGCGCTTCAGCCACTTTAGTGACCGTTTCTAGCTTCTCGTGGCGGCGTTTGTGGCTGTGGCGTGTGACCCGTGTGCGGCGACACTACGAGCGGTCACTTGAGTACTTAACATATTTCTGTTTTCTCAAAGTTCTTGATAGTTGATTAAATCAATGTTGCCGTCAAAGAATCATTACCATTTTATTGAAAATAAGAACAAAACAACAAGTAAGTGTTTCTTTATAAGTATCTCTAGATTTCTTTTTTGCTGGCTATCTTTCTCGAATGGGGCGAAGAACGGAATTCCAGAACAATTAGCTATCTGACTCAAGAAAAATAAAAACATTATTGATTTCTCTCGAATCTCGAAGACATTAGCATTTACATTTGAATAAAAGCGTTGTTTAAAATGTCGCACTCCTGTGTATCACAAAAAACGTTTGACATAAATAAAGAAAGAAAAGAGAGGCTGCGAAGCGAGAAATAGCTACATAATAACATTATCAGGAACGTCGTCATAAAGATTTGTCTTCGGCGCGTAAGTATAATGAAAACTGACAGTGCATTCATAAGGAAGTCTTGTTGGTTAATCGAGTGAAAGTTACGTGAACATTTCACGTATCCTATAAGAAATGGAGAGGAGTGTGAACGCGCTGAGATACGGAATGCGAATTAGGGGGAGCCTCATTGGTTTGAGCGGGGATGGGCTGCAGAGGCGAGCAGATAGTATCGCTTTATCGAGTCCGCGCCGTATTCACGTCAGCATAATGCTCTAATTGGGCGCAATTACGCCCGTTCCGGCGGAAGGCGCCGTCAGGTAGACACCGTGTCCTCGTAAATACTCGTTAACGACTCCGACCTCCAGAAAAATATGATTGCTGAGCGCTGACTCCCATCTAAAGGAACGGAGAACTGAGGAAATGGTCACGTACTCATGGAAGGAAGAATTTAAGGGCGAGTTAACGGGCCGGCAGAAACGAGCACTTTTTTCTTCTGGATGAGATTAATATCGCGATAATTTGCACGGCTGTCTTAAATGTCCTTAAAATATGAGCGTAAAGTAAGCCAACCTTTTATGGTGAATAGGTTAATTTACTTAATTGGCGCTTAATTGTTATAAGTGGCCCGGATTTTCTTAATGCATTTTAGGAGACAGGGAGAAGTCTAACTGAACTTTATATCCCAAATGGTGTTTGGGTATAATCATAAACTTTGATACTTATAAATTTTTTGACGGCTGAAATTTCTGTTTTTCCTTTTCTTGACAATTCTTGTACCCAATGCCAACACTTACATATTAAATAAGTAAAGTAGAAATCCTAATGGGAAGTCAAATGACTTATCCCCTCAAACTGATGCTCTTGCTTTAGATATCTGCCATGCAGAAGATGTAATGAATGCAGCACTCATCACCACTTATTTTTAAAAGTACACCGATATTATGATAAATAGATTTTTTTTGTATTATATACATATAAAAATAACAACTTTCATGTCAATAAAAAAAGGAAATTTATTATTTGAAAAGTTTACATGGAATTAAAATATTTTATTATGAACGTAATAACAATACACAAAGGGAAAAACAAGGCCTACCAAAAATATAAAATAAATATATATTTTCAATGTTTTATCAGGCTTGGTACCAAAGAAACATGAGCAAAGCACTCACGTCCATATAAATTCAATTATTTACAATGATATCGTATTTTATGTAAGCTGTCATGTTTAATATTCTGGATAAAGGTACGTTTTAACTACAGCACTCTCGAATAAAAGCGTTAATTTTGTTTTTAACAGTGCAATCACCATCAAATTCAGTCCACGGTTCATTTTAACAACGCCAATTAACTCGAATTAGTTATAATGAAGTGACCACATAGTTGTAATGGTACCTAATTAGCCATCATTATACTGAAATAATATATTATTATTGAAAAAAAATCTTTTACTCTTTTTAGTTAATAACATAATTTTCAATGCTTATAATAAATGAACATCTTTATATATCTTGGTTTTAGTTTGTAGTCAGTGATAATAAATCACGGATTACACCGTTTTTCTAACTTTAATAATGGTAGTACTTTGCTTTGTAAATAAGAAAAAAATAAAAAAGTCCAAAAGACTAAAAACAGATACTAAAAATGTCTAACTGATTTGGAATAATTACGCATTACCGTTTCCACGAATGAGAGAATTACGGCTATAATAGTGTCGCCTACATAAAATTCTCTTGAGCATTTTGTGAAAACTGAATCGAAAATAATTTTTAATAATTAACTTATAGTATTTCCACGAAATACGCGTCACCGTTTCCACAGGCGAGAAAATAGCAGCGACAACGTTGCCGTGTTATAAAATTGGATAAAAAATCGAAAGGCCAATCTCACCACAGAACGGAACGACTTTGCGGCATACCTACACGGTGTGTGTTTGTGAGGTTGTAGCTGGTTATCTCTTGATCTACTTAACCGACTTTGAAAATTCTTTCACCAATAGAAAACTACGTTATTTTTGAGTGTCAAAGGGCATATATTAACCCGGAAAATGGAAAGAATTTTTAATGGTAGACGGATTTGCAAGATAAGTCGGTGATAAAACGATCACGAACGTTGCCTTATACGATGTGAGATATAATGTGATCGAGTTCTAGAAAAAAGTTCGAAAAGCGACAAAATTCAGAAAGTAGGATTAAATGGAGTATTATTAAATGTAAATATATGTGTGCCTCAAGGTTCCATTCTCGGACCTTGCCTTTTCTTAGTATATGTAAATGATCTCCCACTTATAATAAATGCAATGATTAAAACGACATTATTTGCTGACGATACTACACTAACATTCAAATAAGATACAATTTATCAATAAAACCATAATTAACCTACAGAATTGGTTAAGTGCAAATAATCTAATCTTTAAAGCCAAAAATGTCACCTCTGAATACTCAAATAGCTCCAGTTAATATTAACATGGACGGGAAACTTTTAGAACTTGTAAACTACAGAAAATTCTTAGGTATTAATATAGATTCTTATTTGCAGTTGGGGTCCTCATATTGTAGAACTCGCGCAAAGTCTGAGTTTTGCTGCATATATACATATGAAGCCACAGCGAGACTTGTTTACTTTGCTTACTTTCATAGTATTATGTCTTATGGCATTTTATTGTGGGGGTTTTATGTTTTTACTTCAAAAACGCGTTGTAAGATTTATCTACGATTTGAAACCCAGCGATTCCCTTAAGGGATAAGTTTAAAAGTATTGATATATTTAATTTACCATCCTTATATATATCTATGAATATTATGGACGTTAACAAAAATTGCATCTATTACAAAAAAAAAGTACAATTCATATTCTTACAAGTGTTTAACGATGACAGACAACAATGAGGCCGCAAGTAGCGTCCCTTACAAAACATAAGAAGACTACAAGAATAAAATCACGACATAAAATGAGCCTGTTAAAATAAAACAATGTGGCAATTCACACGACTCCATATCCCGACATAGCGAGACCTGTCGTGACGTAAATTTTGAAGATGTTTTTCGTAGATTTCCGTGCCAAGACCATCGTGCATCATTACACGATATCGCAATATGCCATGACACGGCGGACAACCAGCGTCATAAGTGTTTCATGTTTGGGAGCGCCAACGTCACGATCAAATCTTGCGGGGGCGTGAGTCCGTCAGGAGGCTTGTAGATAAACGCGTTCTATTTTTGAAATCTTGTGGCGTTACGCAACGATATGTGGGCGGAATTATTATTTTACCGTTAACAATATCCTAACCTAAAAGACTGTACACGGTATTTTTTTTAGTTTGGAATTCATTGCATTAAAATATGGTCAAAACACTGGTTGAATTCACCAGGTCCACACGTTGAAACGACAAGTAAAATTAAAATCTTATAATTATGTGTTGTTAATTACTTATTACCTAAATCATTTCTTTTTTAGAAGTATATTTTACATTAATAACGATTTTGCTAGTATAGATCAAGAAAATTATATTGCCAATCCAAGAAAATGTAATCAAATCATTATGTTTTATTGAAAACGATATTAAAATTTTCTCCAATATTACACTATAATTTCGGCGGGTCCAAAAAATTAGGAACGTGACTGTACATGCGGAAATGGATAAACTAAATATAATATTTACCATAACAGTATGTTTTGACTTACATTGCACCATTAGGACAACTCTTTTACTGATGGATGGTGGCACTCCGTTCGATGCTATGCATAAGTACGCGCCCATGTGCAGCCGCGAAACCTTCGATATCGTCAGGTTCTCACCGTCTACCACGTTTACTGTAACAAAACATTGATAATTTAACATTGAAAAAATTAGTTACAAAAAGTTAATAATTTTGGTTGATTGGTTTCATGGTGTCGCCGACTCGAGAGGTCCCGGGTTCGAATCCCGGTGGGGGCCGATGTTTGTGTGATGAATAGGAGCATTTGTACTCCAGTCATGGATGTTTAATATGTATTTCTATATAAAATATGCTTATATATGTACAGTATATGTATTCTATCCGTTACCCTAGTATCCCATAACACAAGCCTTACAGTGCTTACTTTGGGCTAGGCTAATTGGTGTGAGTGTTGGAAAGATTTATTTATTATTTATTATTATGTAATTAGGGACTGATTATCGTGCGCGTATTTAATAGACAATGCGGTTTCGAAAACTATCGCCCCATATGTCCTGCCTATAGTTTGTGAAAACAGTACGTATCATATAAAATGTAATATTTTTACATAAACTTTTTTGTCTTAATTGTTAAATATTGAAAAACAATAATATTGATATAATTAAGTATCAATTTTACATTTTTTTTTAAATTACCAATAAGAGTAGACGCAAAGTGTGTAGTGTGTGTACTAGACATATGCACACACGCATCTCTCCCAATATATAAAGCATTGTAATATTAATAAATGCTCTCTTTAATCGCAGTCAGTTGCCTTATTTAAACGCCCCGAACCGCCAACACTGCATGGCGACCCTGCCAGTGCTGCCCATCGGCGGCGCTGGGCAGATGGTTTTATAGTGATTTTTTTTTGGACTTTATTATGTGAAGACTATGGTGAAATATATGGAGTGATGTTTTAAAAAAAAAAGACATTTCAAAATTATAATTAAAATGAGAAAAGACTTTTTATTAAGAAAATATATAATCTTAAACTATAATAATAAAAAATTCTTGAAAACAAAAAAATTTGGAGTTAAAAGTGAAAAAAAAGGAAGATTTTGCCTGGGAGGTTAGTTGTCGGTTATTGTTTGCTGTTGGATGGAGAGATCAATCTGGTAATGAAGAATAGCAGGCTGCCGGGAGTTGATGGTGTCGGAAGTGGACGCAGCCGGGAGCAAATAAGGCCAAAAGGAGAAAAGGAATGGAAACCAACGGCAAGGACAATTATGTGGAACTACAATTCGGAGATAAATTTGGTTGGACATTTTTTTTAACCTTGTGATTTATTCAACAGCATAAGTATTTTTTTATTGTTTTCGGAAGTAATAATTGGCGTTAAAGTAAAATGATTTTCTTATTTTTTTTACCAAATCAATTGTAACAGCTAGTTATTGTTTTCTCTGGTAAAGAAGTCATAATGCACAGTTTGAAGATTTTATTTGTTTTGATGAATTTTATACATAAAATTGGTTAAATTGATATATAGTAAGTTTAGTTTATCATGTAGCGAAAAAAAATGTTGTTGCGGATATTTTATATACATTCTATAATGATGAAAATAAAAGTGTCGTTTTATATCATGTATTTGTAAAAGTGTCAATTAAAAAAGAATCAAACATATTATGTACAATTGTACGTAGTAAAGAGTACCTAAAATGACGTTCTGATTCATACTATATTTTGATTGCACTGAAAAGTAAAACTAAAAATGACTTTTTTTAATGAAAATTGATTTATATATATGATAGTTTACTAAAATCGTAGGAAATATTGTTCGCTATGTATACGTTATTAATGTCGTTTTCTAAATTTTACAGCTCTGAGTGTGCGAAATCGTTATCAAAAGGTATGTGACTTATTTTTACACCGATAATATTTTATTCGATTGTATTTAGAATTCTTTTAGCGTGTCAGAACATAGGGAAAATCCTATCGAATTTTTTATGATCTGTAAGATTCGTTTTATTTTGGTTTGTTAATTCATGAAAACTCCTCCTTTTGAAGTCGGTTAACAATTAGAATAAAAAATTGTTTTAGTGTATCTTATTATTAAAGTTATTGTTTAAATTCAGAAACTTAAATTCTCGATGCATTTAAATTAAAAGTTGTAATTTTGTAATTGGGTTCATAAGCGAACGACATCGAGAGTGCTGACCTAGCAACACGTGTTGTATGCATGTGACGTGACCACGAAGGTAGTACCTATCTATTGGCATTGTAGTTATTTTACGAAAGTTTAAAGTCAGGAAATTCGAAATTTATAATTTTATGTACGTTTTTTTATCTTGACTTGTTTAAATTGTTACGATTGAAATACCCGTATGTATGTATTTTATATCTAATCAAAATTGAAAAATTTGGTATTTTGCTACTAGAATCATTGAAAATTATATGAATTATATTGAATAGGTACGATAAGTATATTGAAAATGTAAAGATGAATTAGGTATATATTTCACTTAGGTAAAGTTTGTCACGTAAATATTCTTCAGGAATCAAAATTAGCTAGTATCAAAAACATTTAAAATGTTCCGTATATTTTTTTTAAGGATTTAGAATAGGTACTTAGATACTGATAGAGATTATGGAATAGGATTTCCTGTAGATATAAAATGGTTGAATTTGAATTCATAAATCTACCCAATATAGAATATTTTATTTCAAACCTTAATCCCATTATCACCTGACGTCATGGAAAATTTGTATTGGTATAATTATTTTCAAGTATTATTGTGAATTAGAGTCAAAAGTTTTGCAGTTTGATCTGTGAATTTATTTGAAAAGTTTTATTGATTTTTTATAATCAGGGATAGATCGACAAAGATAGATTCGATATATTTTTTATAGAAAGATGAGTTTAAAGTCGAAATTAAAATTTGAATTTTTGACGTTATGTTTTAACGTAAATTTAAATTCAAAGTTTCATCAAATTTGGTCAAGCCTTTTATTAATACGTGATTGTTTAAGTGTTTTATTTAACATGAGATTGATAAAAGTCATCACGAGTCTAAATTCTAAATTGTTAGTTTCAGTTATTAGACACCTAATGACAGATTCTCGTAATTGTTTTGAATAACTTTACGAATAAGGCAAAGGTAGATAGGATTACGTATTGCATTTCTGTATCAGTGTAAGGAATGCTGCATATGCATTTATGCGAGTTGTGTTTTAGCGAAGGTGTAACTTAAGTTTACTTATTATGCTAAACTTAAATAGGTAGGAGTTATATTACTTTGGAACGATAGATAAAAACAAAGGGATTTCAAATGGGTAGGCATGTATAATTATATTGAAAAGATATTTAGAGACATAGGTATAAAGATTAGCGATTATGTGGATTGAAAAATATTTTGAGGCAGTGAAATGGAAAAGATAAATTATGTAGGCTGTATTAAAATCTTTTTGTAACTTTAAAGTTTGCAATTAGGTACAGCATGGTATAGAGATAAGGTAAGGGTTATGTGTTTGTTTTTTGTAGGATTTGGAAAGTCGGCGTTAGTTTATAAAAGGTAGTTAGGGAATATTATGGTTCATAATGTTTCACGAGCGATTGGACTGATCACCCAAGAGCTATGACACTCTTCATCATCATCATCATCAGCCTATTAATGTCCCCACTGCTGGGGCACAGGCCTTTCCTATGGATGGAATAGGGAGATTGGGCCATGACCCACCACGCGGGCCCAGTGCGGATTGGTGGGTGCTAACGACTGCAGATGCAGCCGGGACCAACGGCTTAACGTGCCTTCCGAAGCACGGAGGAGCTCGAGATAGTAATTTTTGGTCACCCATCCAATGACCGACCACTGCGAAAGTTGCTTAAATTCAACGATCGCAGCCGAACGCGCTAACCACTTGCGCCATCGAGCTCCTCGACTCTCTTATTTACCCTAATATTCCAAATTAAGGAATGTTGTTTATTTTTTGTAGGATTAGAATGAATGTGGTTAATAATGCTCGTTATTCGGTACACAAGGGTACTATAGGGATCAGGTCCTTCAGGTGTTAAGGTGCGAACGAGATTCCTCTTTGAACACTGTCGAAGATCAAAAATATTTTAATTCATGACCCTATCTATAAATGATAATGGTGGTACATGGAGGGTCAGATCCTTCCATTCGATCATGGTGTAAACTGCGTTTCTCTGTGAGATATGTTGGAGTCCAAAAGAGGCTTAAACCTTGAACCCCGAATAATAATAATTAGTTTGTGCGCACAACCCAAATGGCACAAAGTTATCCATTTATTATTATGATAATTAAGAGTCGACTATAAATAAAATAAATATATGTACCAAATAAATAAGTAAAATGAAAATGAAAGAACCCCGGCGCTGAGCGTATAGAGCATACATATGTATAATGTGTATGAAAGTACTTTTCATTACATTTTGTCTATATGTGTGTTATGAAAATCAGTGCACCGATAATGTTTTATGAAGTAAATTAATTATTGCGAGCGAGAGTTAGGAATAAAGTATGGTCAAATAAGACAATTATGGAAACATGTGGTGAAAATAAAGAGAATATTATACGATTCTATGAAAGTAAATGAATAAGTCGAATTGGAAAATAGATGCAAGGGTATTCGTTTTAAAGAAAAATATGAGATAAGGATGATTCGTCATCGTATAATTATGATAGGCAGGAAAAAAAAAGATTTTTTAAGTAGAGTACATAAAAATAACGTGCGTTTTAGGCATAGTAGGTAAAATTTTAAGCATTCCCAAGAAGAAGAATTTGAATAGGAAATTAGGTAGTTTTAATGAGTTTTAGAAATCTACGATTGTTGTATTTTTTTCATTTTGGAGTCAGGCAATTTTTTGAATGAAGTATATATAATATTTTTAGAAAGGTGAATTTCGTAAAAAATTAATTGTGATCGAATGAAATATCACCGTTAATCAGTGCAATCTCCCAATATGAATCAGAAGTCAATAAAAATATAAGAGTATAATATATTGATGTGTACTTACTTGTTTATATATTTTATTATGAAAGTGTTATCTTTATCAATAATGTTTTGAACTTTTAAAATGGTATTTTACCCCACATTGTAACGTATAGAAAAATAAAGAAATTGAATAGATTGTTGCGCAGAAACAAGTTAATACTAATTATTTTATAATTATGACAGATTATTTCAATTGTTTAATTAAAAAAAAATATTGTTTATATAAATTTTTAGAACTATTTCCATTATTGATGTATTGTGTTATGTTATGAATATGTATATTGAATAAACATGTTTTAATATTGAATCAAATCAGGCGAGTTCTAAACTATAGCAGATTTTCTGTAAGATGGGTTGTTACCATTTGTCCTGCGGCGAAATAAAACTACTTTGTTATTTTTAGAAGATTTTTTTTTACTTTTTACGTTTATATTTAAATTGTGTTTATATAAAATATACTGTTAATATTTTTTATATGATTATGAGAACAATTTGTGTAATGAATCATTTTAATCAGATAATAAGTATGTGAGTTCTACTTTACTGAGTAAGTTAAAAAGAAAACAAAATGACTTGACTTAATAAACATTGCTATAATTTCTGTCTAATTAATTGAATTTTTAAATAGATGTGATGTGTTTGTTAGGTACGTCAATATTTTTGTAATTTTTGCTGAATGTATTCAATATGATTTTACTGTTTGTATAGTAGTATTTGTCATTGTTTAATATATTTTATATACAAATTGTTTATTATAATATTAAACTATAGTTTTTTTGTAACCTTTTATATAAAAATTGTAGCTTATTCCGTACTTTATTATTTTCTTTCTTGTAATATTAGGTTTAATAACCGGATATACTTATTATTATATATTACTAGCATATTATTTTTAAACGTGATTTAGAATCAACAACAATATAAAAAAAAATGTTTCTGTTTTGTTTTAACTGATATCTGGATATATTACTTAACTGGATAGTTAATAATCTGTGTTAAATTTTATAGAAGTGAAATCCGTCAACAACATAATAATAAAAAAAAAATGTTATTTTTTTTCCTTTATACGGGGGAGGTGTAGTGTGTGTACTAGACATATGCACACACGCATCTCTCCCAATATATAAAGCATTGTAATATTAATAAATGCTCTCTTTAATCGCAGTCAGTTGCCTTATTTAAACGCCTCGAACCGCCAACACTGCAAGTGCTATTTACTTATAGGTATACACTTGTGTAAAAGTTTAAACAAAACGTACTAAATGATTATATTGTTATTTAGAATATTAGTTGCTGTTATAGCGAAAATAGAACGCTTTAATTGCAGTAAATCCATTAGAAATGTTAAAGCTTTTGTTCCAGTATTGCAAGTAGAACAGACATTAGATGGGACATTAATCAATAGAGGTGAAGACAGTAAAAGAAAAATAGGGCAAAAGTCGTAATTAAGCTAATAGCGTCTTTGTGTACGGAGTTATTCTGATATCCATTAGATAGTATAGCACAAACAATAGGACACGAACTTATAGATTTCTTAGTAAGTGAGATAGTAATACCACTAACAATTTGCAATATTGATTGTAAACCCTAATGAACCTTTTACGTTATAATTAAAACACATTATGCACCTGATAAAATAATGTCTTCTCGTACAAGAACAATAAAAATAATAGCTTGAAAATTTATTATTTTTATTTAATAAAACAGTTTAGCACATCTTTATCTGAAGCCGTAGTCTCTTTCTATTATTTGAGTTTGTATTACTTAATCATTTTCCAGGCATTTTTATATAAAACTTAATAGTGATTATTTGTTTAAGAATATTGTGATAGAAACTTTTATAGATAACAGGAAAGCTGAAAAGGATTTCGCGGTCACAACGCAAAAGTGCTCCTTCAGTTTAACAATAGACCGCTTGTTTATTTAGTTGTTTTGGTGAAAAAAAAAAAGATTTTGTGAACTCTTATTTGAATAAATCTACTTTACATTGAAATTGGAGTTCAATGTTCATTGCAAGGGAGCTCGTTTCCACTGAGCACCGCCCGAGTCTGCCAGTCACGTGATCTTGGAACTCCTACATTCCCGCTTCAAAGATTTCCTTTCATCTGTTTTGTTTCTTTGCGAGCGTTAACATAATGACCATCCGGAGAAAATGTTTCGACCGGATATTTATCACAGAAAATCTTTGTTACCGAGTGTCTACTCGCCGTTTTGATTCAAAAGGAAATGGACGGCGTGTAGGTATGTTTTTTATTGATCTTACGGCTCCCGGTGTTAAGGGAATATTTGAGTTATTTGCGATCTGAATTATTAAGGGTCAAACGAAAACGGTGTGAGATCAAAGAGTCTATCGTTCTAATAGCACATTAAAAATTAACTCACCCAGTAAATAACTCGGAGGGTGGTTTTCAAAGCCTTAACGAAGAGGAGCGAGTCCCATCGGACACACGTGACGAAAATAAGTATGAACACAGTTCTTTTTACGGTAGTTGAAAGTTTATCCAATAATTTGCCTACAAATCTAAGAGAAATTGGAATGCATGAAAAAATGAATGAAATTTGGAAAATAATAAGATAAGAAAGATTTATGGTGGCACTGATCTCCCAATGGATTTAAGGAAAATGAGCCGTAACTCAAACTTTTTGCAAAATTTACAACTTGATGAAAAAGCGAGAGTTGTTCTGGTAACTCAGTTTTAAGAGCTGTCGCTGGGCCGGGACAGTAAAAAATGCTAAATCTCCGATTTATTTTTTAAAATTTAATGTTAAGTGCGAGTGACAACAAGTTGATAATACCTATAGCTGATACGGCAGAATAACTTTCCCGCTTCACCTTGTCGGCTCCTGATTAACTCTTCTAGTTTTCGATACCTTACTTCCTAACTTATTATAACACTTCAGTGTTATTTAGCTTCAATATTTTTTAATTAAAATTTTTATTTTATTTTAATAATTAAGCATTTTAACGAAAATTTTTTATTTGTTATGTTAGCATAACGCTTAACATAGACTAAAAAGCAAGTTTTCCCGTCGCTTGAAATCACTGACAGAAACCTGCGCATAGTTGCGTTCGTTGCTAACTTCACAGTCGTCGTAAAGTCTGAATGGCACTAAAGTAGATGTGCAACTCACCAGACTCTCCATTGCAGTTGAACTCTTGGCCGTCCTCCCGCCGCCACATCACGTACGGTTCAGGGTACCCGGTCGCTCGGCACACCATCGTCACATTGGTTCCCTCCCGCACCACCATGTCAGTTGACGTCATATTGTCGATGATCACCGGAGGTACTGTGAAAGTAACGTTCGTTAATTTCACCTGTTCGATAATTGTTACCAGGCCACATGGTGGATGCTACCTAACTTATGTTTTTATCGATAAAAGGACGACATTTGTAGTTTTTTTTTATTGCCGAAGTGTAAAATACAACTCTCTCATTCATACCACAAAATAGAGAGTACGGAATGTAATCTCATATAATGTACTTCACTTTGAATACCTACGCTCGGCGGTCGCACTTGGATTATCAACATTGGTTTATGCATACAGCTACATAATTATTATGGAGGTGGCACTCGTATCTAGTTATTTGATTTACTGTCAAGAATAAAACAGAAGTAACGGAAATATAAACCAATAATAACTAAAATATTTTAATATAAATGTTATTATTGTATTACAAATAAAATAAATACAATTCATCTTTTCTTGTTGAATTTAAAGGCCCGTCTACTGAACAGAGATAATAACGTTTTTTTGCTGCTCCATTTTTGCACAAAAGAGTTCAGACGCGTGTCTCATGCGTATGCGTACTAGCGCACTCGCAGTGGTCCCAAATGGTTCGAGATATCGTGTCCGTGAGCGGTGTCTATGTGTGCGTTGCTCGAGTGCACTTTGTGCGTGGCTTGCCTTCTGTACTATCTATTTTGTGTTCGTTCTTTCTCACTGCGTAAGGGACATTAAGTAAACTTTGGTTCATGCCAAGTTATGATAAGAGCTTCTTATTTGACGTATAAAGATACAACACATTTTTAATGAGAAAATAATTCTTTCATTTTTCAAAGTCTTATTATTCAGTGAGTTTAGACGGCACCAACTTACCGATCTTTTTTATCTTTCTAAATTTGACTTAAATGAATTAGTATCGTTTTGTTTCTTCTTCCAATACCGGCATGGTTTTAGATGAATCTGTTTCCATTATAGCTTTCCATTAATCGTTATCGACTTTCGACAGCCGACCACAAGACTCATTGTTAAGATCTAAATTTCAGCAATAGTAGCGATCACACCAAAAATGCTAAGTGCCTTCATTAATCGAGTAGATATAACTAGCTAAATGCATATTTTACTGTCTTTGTTACAGAAAGAAGGATAACAAATAAAAGTTTAACGAAGATAAAACAACTGAACAACTAAGTTTTCGGAGAAAATGATATATTAAATTTGTATGTGAAATTCTTGCTTCTAAGTTCAGAGACGTCAATGAAATTCAATGCTTGTCAAAGTGATATGTTCTTATAATCTATTTATTGTTATCGCAAAGAGAGTGAACCTCGAGTGAACGCATGAACTTTGATATATTTTAAAATTAATGGGAAATCAAACTCGTGAAATTTGAAAAAAAAACATATCGCGTATTTTGTGATAACGAAAGAAAAATCTTGAAGTTTACATTTCATTTAAAATAATAGAATACAAACTACAATAAAAATGTTCTAAATGTGATCCATTTTGTAGTATAGAAATTCTCACTCTTTTAATAATAATTTTTCTGCCTGTCGATAAAATTAACTTAGCGTGGTGAGTGTTTGAAATAATACCTATATCTAAGTTTATTTTGTAACTCCTGCACACTGTTGTTCCCGTTCTTGGTAACTAAAGCTTTTATATAACTCCACAAAAAGCCAGTCTCATTGTAATTGTGACTTCACAAAGAAATGCATACAAGTACCACTACAGTTTCTTTAAGTATCGCTTTATTATTTTTTTCGCGTACTTATAGTAAAAAAAAACTTGTATCATTAAGTGGGTAGGTACTAGTTAGTAAATACATTGAAATGATAATGTTAGTTGTTGGAAGCATGGAAAACACACAGGAAATTTTCCTGAACAAAATTTTAATTTTGGTGGGACAAAATTTTAATTTTAATTTTTCAAACTCATGAAATGTGAAAAATATCTGATATTATAATCAGATATTTTTCACATTTCATGAGTTTGATTTCCGGTTGTGGCAGGCGATTTTTAAGAAATCTGTGAACGCAGTTCTGCTTATTAATAAAAATAAAATAATGTCTTCTTTCAGTAAAATATACTATCTTCAATATTTAATATACTTTCCCTCCGTGTGGCATGGCCGTGGGATGCTCTGTATATGTTTCTGAACTGGGAAGGCAACTAGTCACTAGATATTTAGGTCCACTTGCACCAAAGTTCTTAAAGCTACAATTCCGTAATGGGCTGCAGGCGACAACTGAGGCGGCGACACTACTAGTTTCTATGAATCTCTGTGATTCCGAGCGCGGCGACATGCCGCGGCTGCACAATGCTTATAAGGTAGTGTCGCCGCCTCAGTGTCGCCTACGGTTGTCGCCTGCGGTTCAGTTCGGACTTGTACCTTATACAAATTCAGGCGAGTTTACCATATCATTCCATCTTTGTCAATTCTTTGATGCTTGAAATTGAATTGAGAAGTTTGGCGCAAGTAAGCCTTAGCTCACACTATTTTTAGGAAGATAATCAGTTTTATTTCAGGAAAGTATAGGAAGATGCGTGAGTTTCTAGGGTGTTGTAAAATGAGTGGAACAAAGTTCACAGTACTCACGGTTTATTGTTTACACAATATGATCCTAATAAATATATCAGCACTTAATGCAATTGTAGAAGGTGCACAATGAGTAAGCACGGAGATAAAATACAGCGCAACAACTAAGTATTAGCTCAACGTTAAACAAGCTGATGTCGATATCGTTAGGTACAGTGAGAGAACAAGCGACACGCATACAAAGCAGAGGCTAAGATCCGACTGCGTGCGTCGGCCGTGCAGGAACAAGTGGTGAGGAGGCCCCGCCCACTGAGACCGGTTACATTCGAGCGGCCGCTGCCTGCGTCCGCGCAAAAGAATATATATGCATAAGCAAAATATGTTTGTCCGCTTGTCGACCAAAGGAGATTGCTCAGCTTCCATACATGTTTGGCCTAAAGACCAATAATCATGAAAAATTGTTTCCTAGATTCAAAATTATATATAAATTACCGTAGAAACGAATGTTGTTGACGGACACCCCTGAGAACTTCTATAAACCATATACACTGAACATATTAAAATAATAAAAAACAAATAAGTTATATAGTAAACTAAGGAAATTAAGCCAAGTACCGAAATTATGGATTAGATTCAGGTATATAAAGCATGTAGATTCACACCTTTCACACATATATATGATAACGTGTAGTGTTAAGTGTGGGTGAGTACGAATGTGGTGTTTGTGTAGGAGAAGGTGTAAGAGTTGTAGTGTCTGGATCGCGCAGTATGTATGCGGGTTTTACTCGGTCAATTGACACGGTGACCAGCTTACCATTGATTGCAAGTTTGAACACCTTGTCGCCTCGTTCTAAAACCTCATGTGGTCCTGTGTATGCTGGTTTGAGGCAGCCGGCCCCTGCGTCATCTCGAAGGAAGACGTGAGAAGCCATGGCCAGATCTTTAAAGATGAAAGGAGACTTCTGGGAACCATGACGTGAAGCTGGGGATGGTTGCAGCTGTCTTGCGAACAAGTGAAGACGTGCCACATAATCCGACATATCTACAGTACTTTCCTCATTTGGTTGGAAAAAATCTCCTGGTAGGCGCAATGGTTCACCATAAACCAATTCAGCGGAAGATGATTTTAGGTCTTCTTTGTAGGTGCTGCAAACACCCAAAACCAGGGGAAGAGCCTCGACCCAATTGCTGCTAGAGTGGCAGGTTATGGCAGCTTTCAGTTGCCTGTGGAACCTTTCCACTAATCCGTTGCATGACGGATGATAGGCAGTGGTTCGTCTGTGCTGAAATCCAGCAATATCCGATAAGCACTTAAAGAGTTCTGACTCAAATTGCCTACCACGATCAGTGACAATTTTCGTGGGGCAACCAAACCGGGAAATCCATCCGCTGAGCAGTGCTTTCGCGACCGTCTCTGCTGTAATGTCCTGTAAGGGTATTGCCTCAGGCCATTGTGTGAAACGGTCAACGGCTGTGAGACAGTACCTGAACCCTTGAGAAATTGGCAGTGGTCCAACCAGGTCTATGTGTATGTGTCTGAACCTGGCGGATGGTAAACTGTAACTGCCAACAGGTGACGAGACATGCCGTGTAACCTTGGATCTCTGGCAAGCTAAACAGGCACGTGCCCACTCCTTGCAGTCGCGTCTGATACCAGGCCATATGAAGCGATCACTAACCAACTTGACTGAAGCCCTTGCACCTGGGTGACTTAATGAATGGAGGCTATCAAACACTTGGCGGCGCATGTCTTTTGAGACATACGGACGCTTTTTGTTACCCCTTACATCACAAAACACCTCCAGGTCCGTACCAGGCAGTTTCACTTTCTCAAGGCAAAGAGAAGTGTTGTCCGAGTTTATGAGCGTATTAAGCTCAGTATCTGAATTTTGCATGGTGGCTAACTTCTCCATGTCGATAGGCTGTATAATTTCATCGACACGAGAAAGTGTATCGGCCACTACGTTATCTTTGCCTGAGATATGCCTGATGTGAGTGGAAAATTGGGCTATAAAGTCTAAATGCCGAAAATGTCTGGCTGAACAATTTTCTTTTCAAGAGTGAAAAGCGGATGTTAGGGGCTTGTGATCAGTATAAATCATAAAATTCCGCGCCTCGATCATATGCCGAAAGTGCTTAATAGCCTCATATATGGTCAAGAGCTCGCGATCGTATGGCGAATATTTGGTCTGTGATGGTGACAACTTACGCGAGAAGAATCCAAGCGGCTGCCAATCGTCACCTTTAGACTACTGCAGTACTGCACCCATTGCGGTATCCGATGCGTCCGTGACCAAGGCCAACTTTTCCTTGCAATCCGGATGCACCAGCATTGTCGCCTGAGACAAGTCGTCGTTGCACGCTTCAAATCATTTATTTCAGCAGCAGACAGGTGTACGGGGTGAGATCCTTTTACTGACCCCACTAGGAGAGCGTTCAAGGGTGCCTGATATTGAGCTGCGTGGGGGATGAACCTGCGGTAAAAATTCACCATGCCAAGAAACCTACGTAACTCTCTAACAGTTTTGGGGGCGGGAAAGCTCTTAATAGCCGTCACCCTGTCTAGTGGTGGTTTGACACCTGCAGCAGACACGTGAAAGCCCAGGAAAGTAACCTCAGAGGCGCCGAACATACATTTAGTAGTATTGATGACCATACCGTACTGTTTCAACCGGTGGAACACTTGGCGCATATGGTCTTCATGGGTCTTCATGGGTCTTCTGATCTTTTGAGTAGACCAAGATATCGTCAACGTACGCGTAGGTGAAGTCGAGCCCTCGCAGCATCTCATCGACGAAGCGCTGAAACTTCTGTCCGGCATTACGAAGTCCGAATGTAATATACGGAAATTCGTTTAAGCCGAACGGCGTTGTATAAGCCGTCTTCTTGATATCGCTGGAATTTATGGGAACCTGATTATAGGCCTTCACTAGGTCCAGGGTTGAAAAGACCGTGCAACCAGAGAGGTTGTAATCAAAGTCCTGGATATGTCGGAAGGAGTACCTGTCCGGGATGGTTCTGGCATTTAGCATCCGGTAGTCACCGCATGGTCGCCAGCCGTTGCTTTTCTTCGGTGCCAGGTGTAGGGGAGAAGACCACGCAGACTCTGAAGGACGACAGGTGCCAACTTGCAACATGGCCTCGAACTCGGCCTTAGCAATCTTAAGCCGATCAGGTGCCAATCGACGAGGTGAGCAAGCTACAGGCGGTCCAGGTGTTGTGCGTATGTGGTGTACGGTGTTGTGTTTTGTGGTGTTATGCAAACCAGAAGGGCGAGTGATGTCGGGATACTCAGCTAGTAAGCGATGTTAATTAGTATCACCAGATGCTACATTAACTGAAAAAAATATTAGCTGTTTTAGCAAACAAAGCCGAGGTGCAAAGCGTTGTATTAGCATCTACTAAGCGGTTATTCCGAACGTCAACAATTAAATTATAATGGGATAAGAAATCAACCCCTTTTATGGCCCGCGTTACGTCTGCAATAATAAATCGCCAAGCATAGTCACGGCGCAAGCCTATGTTGAAAACAAAATTTGCGTAACCGTACGTATTTATTATTGAACCGTTTGCTGCGCAAAGTTCAAAATTGGTGTTGTGACTATGCTTGCTGACTAATTTTCTGAGGAAAACACAAATGTCATTGCCAGTATCTACTAAAAATAGTACTTTGGTACGAACGTCCGTTATAAATAAGCGACCGGTATTTGGACAGGCGTTGGTCGCCATAACCGTCTGCCCTAAGCTTTTCCCGAAAAATCACAGGGTTTCACGCACTTACTTGCCTTACTCCCAAATTTGGCATGATACCAGCACAACGGAAATTTCCTATAGTTGGGCTGGGAGCGGGTAGACCGAGAATTTTCGCGGGATCGGCTGTTGGTGGTATATCTTGCTCGGGACCGGGGCCGTGACATCCTCTCGACTTTGGATTGCAACGACTGGACCTGCCGTGTGAGTTCCGCAATTTGGCTGGACAGTTCGGTGAAACTTCCTGACCGAACCGATGCGGCTGCGACTTGGGGATTGGGCGGAACGATGTCGTGCACTCTGTCCGCCAACTTTGCTACTTCTTCCAGGGACGCCTTTGATTGGGACGCTATGATGGATTGCGTGCTGCTGGGTAATCGACTCGTCCAGATGGTCTTAAGGAATTCCTTTGGGACATCAGGGCCTGCTAGGTGTTGGAAGTGGCGAAGGAACTGGGAAGGTTTCCTGTCCCCTAGTTCTTCGTGGACCAGGAGCTGCTTCACCTTCTTCTCCCTCGACGCAGACAACCGTTTTATCAACTCCGCCTTCAGACGCTCGTATTTGTTGGGTCCTGCTGGTGCCGATATAATATCTTCTACCTCTGACGTGTAGACGGGATCCAGCTGGCTGATCGCGTAGTGGAACTTCGTGGTGTCGGTGGTTTTATTCGCCAGATTAAATTGGCTCTGGAGTTGTGCAAACCACAACGCCAGTTTTTCTGGGTAAAATGGAGGTATCCTTACACTCATTTGATTCACGTCGCTTGCCGAATTCAAATGCTCACCAACGGTCGTATTCTCCGTATTGCTCATGGTTGTGCTTTATAGGGGTCACCAGATATAGGAAGATGCGTGAGTTTCTAGGGTGTTGTAAAATAAGTGCAACAAAGTTCACAGTACTCACGGTTTATTGTTTACACAATATGATCCTAATAAATATATAAGCACTTAATGCAATTGTAGCAATTGTAGAAGGTGCACAATGAGTAAGCACGGAGATAAAATACAGCGCAACAACTAAGTATTAGCTCAACGTTAAACAAGCTGATGTCGAGATCGTTAGGTACAGTGAGAGAACAAGCGACACGCATACAAAGCAGAAGCTAAGATCCGACTGCGTGCGTCGGCCGTGCAGGAACAAGTGGTGCGGAGGCCCCGCCCACTGAGACCGGTTACATTCGAGCGGCCGCTGCCTGCGTCCGCGCAGAAGAAAATATATGCATAAGCGAAATATGTTTGTCCGCTTGTCGACCAAAATTTATATTTTACTCGTACTTTACAATATTATAATAAAAACAACTATATAATTACACAAAATAACAATGTAGGTACTCTACAAAAGAAAAACGTTACCGATCGTTTATCTATCTTAACCATTCAATAATTCCGTGTAATTTAAGCACCCAGGGAATAACGTAATATATTATTTTCCAGGGCTATGTTAAGTAATGTAGCAAAAAATAAAACAACGAACGCTCCCTTAATATATTCTCTCTTTGATCCGTTCCGAAAATAAAATATATTAAGATAAACCAGATACGTTTCAACTTAATTTGCAATTGCTCCCCGGGAAAAGATCTTTTGTCGTTTCGTAAGTAAATAGGTTTAGCCTTCCTGTTTATGACTAACAATCTAATTATGTTCATAAAAAGAGGGTAGTAAAATTATCCTTTTTCATTAAATTGGTAAGTAATGGTCTGAGTTCTTCGTAATTTCCTGTTAAATATTGTCGATCTTATGTTACAACAATGTACTTACTTATTATTCAACTTGATAATTATTTTATATACGAGTACATAAAAAAAAACATGAGGTTTGTTTATTCACGGCAGAGTTGTATGTATGCCGGGTTTCAAGATGTCGCCTACGCAGAGGTTCCGGGTTCGAATCCCGTTGGGACAAATGTTAGCATGATGAATACAAGCATTTGTACCTAAGTCATAGATGTTTATATTTATGTATAAATATACTTATATTTATAACTATCTGTATTCTATCCGTTACCCTAGTATCCCATAATAACACAATGAATGGTGTGAGTATTGGAAATATTTATTTGAAGTTATAATTTTTATTATTTAAGCATGTAACTGCTCGATGTTTAACTAAAGAAAATACCTATTACTAGAAAAAAAATATTTAAAAATATGAATTATATATCGCCATTTCTTCTTTCAAATGTTTAATACTTGTAAAGGTATTCTTTTGATATTGTGGGTTATCTACAATGCGACAATAAGGCGCTGCCTTGCAGCTTAAGAAAGGTTAGAAAGAATTCGAAACGGTCATGAGGGCCGCGGTAGAATAAAGGTCAGTGCAGTCGAGCGAAGGGTGCGGGTTCGAGTCCCGCCTGCTGCCTGGTCCGCGTGGATTTTTTTCTAGTAATATTTTCTTTAGATTTAAACATCGAGAGGTTAAATGCATATGCTTATGCTGATTATAGTTATAATTATAACTATAATCGCTATTTCTTCTTTAAAATGTTTAATACTTGTAAAGATATTCATTTGATATTGTGGATTATCGACAATGAGAAGAGATGGCGCTGCCTTGCAGTTTAAGAAAGGCTAGAAAGTATTCGACACCGTCATCAGAGCCGCGGTAGGATAACGGTCAGTTCATTCGCCGGGATAGCGAAGGGTGCGGGTTCGAGTCTCATCTGCAGACTGGTGCGCGTGGAACTTTTTCTTGAAATTTATGCTTTAAATATATTTATATTAAACTTAAACTTAGAAACAGGTTCGGATATAGAGAGATTTAAACTTTGTGGCGGGTGTGTAGTTAGCAGCGAGCTAAACTATGCACAGGTTTCAGTCCCATGAGATCCCGTGACGTCACCCTACATTTCGTTTGCTGCTGCGCGACCTGCGTTCACTTCACAGACGCCATTAAGTTTGGATTGCATTATAATTCATAGGTACTAACCTACGACCTGAAGATAGCCTTTCCTTGATCGCATGGGATCAGTGTTGACTTGACACATGTACCAGCCTCGGTCCACTTCTTGGACATCCTTGATGTGCAGGTACCACGAGCGATGGTCGTTGTAGGACAGGCTGATGCGAGGGTTCTGTGTTATGATGTTGTGGTGGATGCTGAGTATCGTCTGCGTATCCACACGAACCCACGCTACCTGGTAAAAAATCAAATTATCATCATCAGCCCATTAATGTCCCTACTGCTGAAGCACAGGCCTTTCCTATAGATGTTATAGAGAGATTGCACCATGAATTCATTACCACGCAGGGTCAGTGCTAATTAGAGGGTGCTAGCGACTGCAGTTGGTGTAGCCTGGACCAACGGCTTAACGTGCCTTCTAAAGCCACGGAGAAGCTCGAGATAGTAAATTTTTGGTCACCCATCCGATGACCGGCCATTGCAAACGTTAGTTAAAGCTTAACTTCAACGATCGCAGACTGTATGCGAACTTTATCCATTGAGTCATCTAGCTTTTTAAAAAAAAATACAGCATTCGATTCATTTGAATGTTGCTAGCGGTTCCACCGGAGCTATACAAAGTACCTGACGACCTCCGTGGCCGAGTGGTTTGTACGCCGGGTTTCATGGCGTCGCCGACTCGAGAGGTCCCGGGTTCGAATCCCGGTGGGGGCAGATGTTTGTGTGATGAACACGAGCATTTGTACTCCAGTCATGGATGTTTAATATTTATGTATTTCTATATAAATATACTTATATAAGTAAAGAATTTGTATTCTATCCATTACCCTAGTATCCCATAACACAAGCCTTATAGTGCTTACTTTGGGGCTAGGCTAATTGGTGTGAGTGTTGGAAATATTTATTTATTTATTTATTTATTTATATCAGAGCTAAGTAAAAGTTCAGTCTAGGTACTGTGTTAGTTTCTAGAATCACTCATCTCAGTAATCTTGCATGTACATGTCTGATGGCAAAGCAGCATAAAACATTGATTGATGTAAATTATTGGAAAGTGAAATTAAGTTGTAACAATGTGCTATTTAACCAGGAAAGTTATCGATGTGATGAAATTATATTATTGATTTTCAACATAGCAATTAACAAATTGAAATTGACGGCGCTTTAAGGTAAATTCCTATTAGTAAGAGCGACTAGTAGGTGGTCATAGTGCAACTTTATCCAATAGGCTATTTGATCACTTTTTTTAAAACGTTCATACGTTATTTTATTATTATTAGTTAGTATTGTTATTCCATAACATTGATATTTATAATACTAAAATAAAAAATATATATGCCGCGGAAACTTTTCTCTAGCAAATATGACGTCTTACAAGCAGGTGACGTGTCGCTGCACTCATTAAAATGTCACACAGTACAAAGTAATGTCACTTCAACGGCATAATAACAAGCACGTCATTTCAGGCTAGGTGTTTTCGGTTACGTGACAATAGATCATTCCTATTTCATGATTTTTAGTAATATTATTAATTTTTTGTCAGAATATTGATATCGCTCCCAATATTTATATTGAATACACATGCAAAAATTGGTACTTTATTTTAATACTGTCAAATAGCCTATAGTCATGAATTTGACAGTACCTTTGTACTTCCTTGCACAGTGTAATAATCAAAATGTTTCATTCAGAATGCCGCCGGTCATGTAAGTTCCGCACTTTCAAGTGAATTAGATTTGCTGTCCCTTCAAAGTAGGAATTTATCTCTTTGTTATTTTGTATGTGGCCACATGGATAGTGATGACGTTAACTATCTGTCCCGACTAATTTAATAAAGTGCGTCAAATGCTGGGATAGATAATGAAACTCCCGCGCGTAGTGGATGGTAAAGACTCATTTGAATTACGTTAGATTGCAAAGGAGTTTAAAATTGAGTTTTAAGGTCATAATGGAATCTTCCAGTTTATTTTCTCTCAGATTTTTGTACTTTGTTATAAAGTTGACGACTTGATTATCGATTAGAGAGCTGTTAGTAATGAAATATAGCTGTGGGCAATTTGGATCCTTTCTACAATAAAAAAGGCAATAAATACATATGATAATATGACATTAGGCGCAAGAATTCTAATAGCAAACCAAGAACTGCCTAATAACTAAATACTGAATGTTTCACAAAAAGGCGGAAATAACTACTATTTTACTTTTGTACCCTTTCCTAGCATTTTTAACGAAGATATTATTTTTAGAAGATATATATTTATGCAACTCTCGTATAATTAGGTGTATCAAAACACGAATATGGGTTCACGCGAGGCGAAACCAAGTCTGAGGATGGTATCACATAAGTGTTTTAATACCTAAATATTTGTTTTAATACCTAAGAATTCTATAAAATATGTAAAAAGTTTTTAGCGCCAGCGCAACGCGCGTGAATTACAATTTTCTTTTTTTTAAATTCTTACAGTACCACGCGTCGAGTAGTAAAATCGTGGCCGTCTAATTAGTAAACTCTTTGCGCTGAAGGGATGAAAGAAAACGCAGGAGTGTTGTTATTTATGATATTTAGTCCAGCATTATATCATCTTTTTGGATGATAATGGTTATTAGGATATTGGATGTTTAATGTAGTGTAGTGCCGGCCTAGAATAGAATAGCACTACCCCCTCTCATCCCGTGGGTGTCGTAAGAGGCGACTAAGGGAAACTTCACTTCACCTAAGGAGATGGGCAGCAGCATCCCCTTATGCGAACCGGTATACTGCGATCGCCAACCCGCTTGCCAAGCGTGGCGATTATGGCAAAACCCCCCCATATGCGAAACAATACGAAACGGCCCCTAGTCCCCGGCGGCCCCGCTATTCCTGGCTACGGTAGCGGCCACGGTAACGGCGGGGCAGGGGGTGCGAAGAATCCCCGGGTAGGACACGGCTACCACAACAACCGAATACTGGCCCTGGCAACCTACAATACGCGCACATTGAGGACCGATGCCAAGATGACAGAGCTGGAAGAAGCTATCAGCAAGTTACACTGGGACGTCATCGGGTTATCTGAAGTCCGAAGAGAGGGAGAGGACACGATAACTCTGGACTCCGGTAACTTGCTGTACTTCCGGGAGGGCGACCAACAGTCCGTAGGTGGTGTCGGGTTTATCGTCCACAAGTCCCTCGTCAACAACGTGCTGACCATCGGTAGTGTTTCGAGTAGAGTAGCGTACTTGGTACTCAGAATATCATCACGATATTCGATGACTGTCATCCAAGTCTACGCTCCAACCTCGAAACACGCCGATGACGAAGTGGAGGCAATGTATGAGGAGATCTCTCGGGCCATGCATAGCCACAAAACCCACTACACGATTGTGATGGGGGATTTCAATGCAAAGTTGGGGAAACGTTGCGGCGACGAGCTGAGAGTGGGGCAATTTGGAGTTGGGGAACGGAACGACAGGGGCCGAATGCTGGCGGACTTTATGGAGAGGGAGAACCTCTATATGATGAACTCCTTCTTCAGAAAGCCCGTCACCCGCAGATGGACCTGGATAAGTCCCGACGGCAAGGTCAAAAATGAGATTGATTTTATCATGTCGACGAAGAAGCAAATATTCAATGATGTTTCAGTGATCAACGCTGTTAAGACAGGAAGCGATCACCGCTTGGTAAGAGGCACATTGAATATCAACGTTAAGCTTGAAAGATCGCGACTGATAAAATCAACGCTCCGACCGGTGCCAGCCCAAATTCAAAACCCCGAGCGCTTTCAGCTGGAGCTCCAGAACCGCTTCGAGTACCTTGAGAACAGCATAGACGTGAACGATCTGAACGACCTGGTGGTGGATACTGTCCGTACGGTAGGGTCTAAACACTTTAAAACCCGCCGTACCAAGTTAAAGAAACTCTCCGCATACACACTCGAACTCATGGATAGGAGACATGAAATGAGACTACATGACTCAACGGATGCATTTCGTTATAGACAGCTTAATAGACGTTGACGAGCGACCTTCGCCACTTTAATACCGAGCGTATTAAAGAGGCCATAGAGCGGAACAAAGGCTCCAAAGTGTTCGCTAGAGATCTGTCTATTGGACAAAGTCAACTGACGAGGCTGAAAACTGAGGACGGTAGTATCATTTCATCGACTCCTGAAATCCTGAGGGAGATTGAGAGTTTCTATAGGCAGTTATATTCCAGCAGAACACCAGGCGAAAGCAGAGCTCGAGATCCTAGAGCCAAGCTTACCCGACATTATACCGAGGATATCCCGGACGTCAGCCTGTACGAGATTAGAATTGCCCTCAAACAGCTTAAAAACAACAAGGCGGCGGGAGATGACGGAATCACAACAGAGCTTCTGAGAGCGGGCGGTACGCCGGTACTTAAAGTCCTCCAGAAACTCTTCAACTCCGTCATCCACCAGGGCAAAACGCCGAAGGCATGGAGCAGAAGCGAGGTGATTTTGTTCTTCAAAAAGGGTGATAAGACCCTACTGAAGAACTACAGACCCATCTCGCTTCTGAGCCATATCTACAAGCTGTTTTCGAGGGTCATTACGAATCGTCTCATTCGCAGGCTCGACGACTTCCAGCCTCCTGAACAAGCCGGTTTCCGAAAAGGCTTTAGTACCATAGACCACATCCATACGCTGCGGCAGATTATACAGAAGACCGAAGAGTATAATCGGCCACTTTGCTTAGCGTTTGTGGACTATGAGAAGGCCTTCGATTCGATCGAGACCTGGGCGGTGCTGCAGTCTCTCCAGAGGTGCCAAGTGGACTACAGGTATATCGAAGTGTTAAAGTACCTATATCAAAACGCCACTATGTCGGTCCGAGTACAGAATCAGAGCTCTAATCCTATCCAACTACAGCGAGGGGTGAGACAGGGAGACGTGATATCTCCGAAACTGTTCACTGCTGCGATGGAGGATATTTTTAAGCTTCTGGACTGGAAAGGACTCGGCATTAACATCAACGGCGAGTACCTGACACACCTTCGATTTGCCGATGACGTAGTCCTAATGGCGGAGACCTTGGAAGACCTGAACACCATGCTCGAGCATCTCAGTGACGCATCCCAGCGAGTGGGTCTTAAGATGAACATGGACAAGACTAAAATCATGTCCAACGCCCATGTTGCACCCGCTCCAGTTAATGTTGGGAACGTTACACTTGAAGTTGTTGACCACTACGTTTACCTAGGACACACAATCCAGTTAGGTAAGTCCAACTTCGAGAAAGAGATCTCTCGTCGAATCCAACTCGGATGGGCAGCGTTCGGGAAGCTGCGGAACATCTTCGCGTCCAAAATACCTCAATGCCTTAAGACGAAAGTCTTTAACCAGTGTGTGTTGCCAGTGATGACCTATGGCAGTGAGGCGTGGTCGTTTACTATGGGTCTCATAGGACGGCTCAAGGTCGCCCAGCGGGCAATGGAGAGAGCTATGCTTGGTGTTTCCCTGCGTGATCGAGTCAGAAATGACGAGATCCGTAGGAGAACTAAAGTCACCGACATAGCTCGAAGAATAGCCCAGCTGAAGTGGCAGTGGGCGGGACACATAGCGAGGAGAACCGATGGCCGTTGGGGCGGAAAGGTTCTCGAATGGCGACCGCGTGCCGGACGACGCTCAGTGGGAAGACCCGCTACAAGGTGGACCGACGATCTGGTGAAGGTCGCGGGAAAACGCTGGATGCGGGCAGCGCAGGACCGATCGTTGTGGAGATCCTTGGGGGAGGCCTATGTCCAGCAGTGGGCGTCGTACGGCTGATATGATGATGATGATGATGATGTTTAATGTTGGCAATAAGCTGTTTCAGAATCTTTTTTAGAGGTTTTAAAGCATGGGTGATAGACTAAATAACATCACATGACAAGAATTTCATATTTTTCCCCGTTATAATACCTACTCCCTTTTATTATTTTTATTTATTTAGAACATATTTTGAGATATGACCATACTATGCCAATTTTATTTAAAACAAACTGTTAATAAATGCCTACAACAGGGAAGTTTTCACAAAGGGGTAATTTCAGCTTAAGCAGTTTTCCTTGTGATTATTATTTCCAACTGTGTATTTATTCCTTCTTTATTCATTTTTGTCGTGTATGTTTCTATAGTTTATGAACACATTTCATTAAGTCCGGCTTCCATGTCATCAAGCTTTAAAATCTATCGCATTTCACCAATACCGTATGATTGTTCACATTCGGCAAACAAAACTTTTCGAGTTTCGAAAATATGAAGGCTTTAAAATAGAATCCATTCCCCCACATATATAAATCTGGTTGCAGCACAGCAATTCCGCTAACTAGCCGTCCTGCATGATTAATAATGGGCGGCATGCATTCTGGCGAAGTGATATTAAGTTGGCTTGTTAAAACTTTACCGCATGCACTGCACAATCAAGTCGTGTGAACTTTAGCCACGTATCTGGATATAGAATTATAACGGGCTCGCTCTTCGTGAGATTTGATATGTCACCAAACAAGGCTCTGTATAAGTACGTAGTTTATGAGTGCATTAATTAAGCGTTCAAGTTAATAATCTTCTGCGCTATGATCTTCTCGTGGAGTCCAAACTTTCAAATTGCATGATAATTATTGTTATTTCTTACAATCTTCTGTAATTTGAGGAGGAGTATAGTAAAATTATTTTATTAGGGTGGCAAACAAGCATATGGCCCGCCTGAAGATAAACAGCCACCGAAGCCTATAGACGCTTGCGATACCAAAGCTATCATTGCCTACCCTGACTCAATTCTCTACCCCGTGAAGACCTGAAACCTTACTCATCGACAGAAACACAACACCACTAAAAGATAGTGTAATGTAATTTCCCCAGATGGGCGCTCCAATCCGATCGGAAATCCGTTATGCCCCACCTCTCTTTAATTACTGTATCTTTAATTAAGTGATAATAAGAGTCCAGATACGCGCTGCACCATCCATTCCCATTTTATCAGTCTGCACTCTGTTCCTCTACTCTGTAGTCATGGCAGAATATTCGATTCATTACAAGAACACTACAGAGTTTTAATAGTCTTGAAGGAACAGGATATTTTCCAAGCTAAGCTGTAATTTCTTTAGAAAGTCAAAGTGGACTTCGTACTCCCCAGTGTCATATATTAACTTACTTTGTACCCTCTCAAGTCCTCTACGACACAAGCCAGCAGCGTATCGCGGCCCACCGTGACTGTCACGTTCGGTACAGGTACCAAAAATCGCGAGATCAGTGCATATCTCATAGATTTGAATTGCCACTTACTGCTTGGGTTGACAAGTTGACATGGCATCTTCTGTTCATTTTGGGAGGCTACGCTATAGTCTATAGATCTTTAATTATGGAACAGTAGAGTTCAGATACGTGCTGCACCAACTATTCTCATATTATCAGTCTGAACTTTGTTCCTCTACTCTGTAGCTTCATGGCAAAATACGAATGAATCATTACAAGAACTCAACACTACAGAGTATTAATAGCCTTCAAGAAATAGGATAATTTCCGATCGAACATACGAAGTCCTTTAAAAAGGCGAAATGGACTTACTCTGTACTTACCTTAAAAAGTCAGAGTTCCCTATGTCGTATATTAACTTACTTTGTAACCTCTCAAATCTTCGACGACGCAGGCCAGCAGCGCGTCGCGGCCCACCGTGACTGTCACGTTCGGCACAGGCTCCACAAATCGCGGGAACAGTGACTCTGCAACAAGTGAGTGACACTTTTGTAAAGTATTTACATACTTAATAACTGTCATGTGAACAGTGATTAATGGTACTGTCACAGTTCATTTGATATTTACCATATTTACATACTTCAGGGAAGTAATGATTTGTTAAATTTTAAAGTTGTGTTAAAGGATGAAGTGTTCGATAAGATAATCACGATGCATCCGAATATCGAAGCTCTTATACTATTAAGATGTTTGAAGCAATTTATGTGAATTTATTGAGTACATTTAGAAAGTATATTAAGTATTACATATTTTATCTGCTTTCTTGCTTTCATAGTTTATACGCAAAAAATATGATAGACTTATAAAAGGTGCAACAATATAAGATAGCGACTCAAACTTTATGTTATTATCTCAAGCTCCTCCGAGTTTCGGAAAGCACGTTAAGCCGTTGGTACCGCCTGTTCCCGCAAATCCGCTCTGGGTCCGCGAGGGGCATGGCTCTTTCTGCGTAAACCGACCTTAGGGTCGGCCTGTACCACAGTAGCGGGGACATTATTAGGCTGTTAGTTAAGGCGATTTATTTGTACAATAAATATAAATATTTATTACACTCGTGTGATGGTTGTTTAAATAATTGTATTATTTTAATAACAATAGGTACCTATATAATTTGTGCTGTAGATATATGCTGAATACAAAGTAACGATATTTTGTATACATAGCACAAGCTATATACTCTGGATTGGATTATTATTATCATTGTCAATGTTCCGGAATATTATTTATTATTACCTTCTTATTCCCTAAAGGAGAGACACTGATTTTCATATTAACTAAAATTGGTAATACGAAGTCTAGTTTCATAAGTCAATGACATCCGTAATAGGTCAAGGGGTTATCTGTTTATTTATTCATATTGCACATCGTTCACATCGCTCTGCGCCGGTGAAGCCTGCGGTCAATCCAGTTACTCCGTATTTGTACTACGGCGGAAACTTGATAGATCGACGGATTTTATTGTTTCATTCAATTTGCCAAGAATACATTGTGTAGTCGAGTGTATTTCCGGGTGAGGTTCAATACAATGTTATTCTTTGTTCGTATGGTTCCGTGAGATCAGCGTTTTGTTACTTCGCTGATAAAAATTTGATCCTCTTCGTGTTGAGTTTTTTCTAGTGGTGTTTGTTGTTGGACGTAGGTTAAATGTTTTAGTACGCTTAGCCTCTGCAATTTTAAATTTTATGCGTTTATGTATATTATATGTATTGTCTATTGAGCTCATATTTTTGTTTTTATTATTGGAAGTTTATTAAATATAAATAACAATGTATAAAACTAAACACGGCCTCCGTGGCCGAGTGGTTTGTACGCCAGGTTTCATGGTGTCGCCGACTCGAGAGGGTTCGAATCCCGGTGGAGTACATTTGTACTCCAGTCATGGATGTTTAATATGTATTTATATATAAATGTACTTATATTATGTACAGTATATGTATTCTATCCGTTACCCTAGTATCCCAAAACACAAGCCTTATAGTGCTTACTTTGGGACTAGGCTAATTGATATGAGTATTGCAAATATTTAATTATTTATTATTATTTAATGTATAAAACTGTTTTATTTATATCTCGGAAGAAATTTCTCTAATTTTGTTTGCAATTTCGTAGAAAGTGTCTGCGATTGTGAAAAATATAAAATTATTATTTTCCGTGAACCGTTTGCATGAACACGCATAGATCAGGGGAGAACTCTATTTATTATGTATCTGCATACCCACCTACCAACCTTATTGTTATTTGAAATTTAAATCACATGCAGTTTTTCGTATCCGTTTATGAATATGAAAATCACGTAGTGTTAAAGTTCCGATATTTTAAACATATATTGTTTTAACTGATGGAATGATAAGTAAATTTACTAAAGGTTCATTGTATTTCATATATGAATATACAATACCTGCACACAACGTTAGTCTGATTTAAATTTTTCAAGAAGTTGAGATGCTTTACATTTTTTTCGATACACTTTTCTAGTTACCTGAAGATTGAATAATTCTAACTGTCTATTTCTATAATTTTAAATGACTAGTCCTATTTTTTTGTTTGTAAGGGTGACCACTCACCATCATGTCGCTTGATCAAGTGACTTTGTTCAAATAGGCTTGATCAAGCCTTTTTGATCAAGTGGCAGCATGGTGAGTTACCACCATAAATCTAATGTGTTCAACCCCTATACAGGATACATAATAAGGATATACTGACACTAGCACAATTTTAATATAAAATTATGTTTCATATAAGAATTGATGATATTAAAAGTATATCGTAAATATCCTCATTCGCCAAACATTTAAATGAAATAAGAAAATTTTGATCCATTTTCTCTTAGAGTAAATAAAAAAAAATTAAATGTTTCGAAAGCAAATCTGTTAGAGCGTGACGCGTGTTTTGCACATGATAAAGTGCTGTTTTTACACTACTGGGATGACGATGTGAAATATACAAAAACACGATTGGAACGGAACTGGTGCAGTGTACGAGATTAAATCTGGGAGCCTACTCTAAACTTGCGTATCAGATGATGTTGGATTTAGCTGTATTTTTACAGCTGTTTCAAAATATAGATATTTAAGATTTTATTTTCTGCATATCCTCAGCGGAAATATTTTGTATGGAGAAGTTTTAAAATCTCTTTTGCATTACAAATGTACCCTTTAAAAACCTCTTTTAACTGCCATTTAAAGAGTATTTTGTAACTAAATAATAATAATAAATATTTGTTGAATGGTTTTATTTTATATATTAATAATCTGATTACTGTGCATCTATAGCCCAATATGAAAAGTTGGACAATATTGATCACTTCCAAAATAAAGATATATGTATAACGATTAACGATTTTTTTATATATTTGTAATTTTCGTCTGCTATATTTTTATATGAAAATAAACTTTCTAATACATGATGCATGTAAGTTTTTCTAGTGAAATAATTTTAGGTACTTGTATGACTGAATTGGACAAAAACATCGTGAAGCCCTGCTGCACTGCTGAGCGAAGAAGAAATAAATAGCAAAAGTTCCGTTTTTCCGTTTCAGCACTCTTGGTATACCAACGTCAATTTGCACACGAACCTTACGGGTAATAACTTCTCTGTTAACTAACTAAAGAGTTGAATGAATCAAAAAATGACATCTGGGAAATAGCAGATATCATATTCTCATCCTCATACAAAATTATTATTTACTTTAGTGCACGCCTGCCCCGGTTTTATTATAAGAATATTTATGTTTTTATTTCTAAGCATTTAACTGCTAGATGTTTAAATCTAAAGAAAAGTTTACGAGAAAAAAATCCACGCGGACTTTTCTTAACTCACTTACTTACTTATTTTAACAATATATAAAAATTCCGTTCTGTACATTCAGAGTTTCCTTTCTACAAACTTACTGTCTTTATCTCTTAATAATATGAGACAGTGTATACTGTATGTATTAGTTTATAGCTAATAAGTGTAGGTAATAAAAGTAAAAGTTTTCAGAATTTTATTTTATGTTCTATTTATTTAATGTTTTTCTATGCTGGCCTGGAAACGAAAATAAACATATTGGAACCTGCTGTTTACATTATCGGGCAGTAGTAGAGTTTTATAACGAATACGATGCTTTTAAAACCTATTGTGATGATGGGCTGACAAAATAAAAGTGGTGTATTCTAATAACTAACTTGTGTATGGGTCTGGTATTTAAATTTGTCTTTTATTGTTACATCTTTGATATTTTATCAACCACGCAAGTAAAACAAATCGCTTCCATGGTATGAAACTAAACAGATCTATTAGTCTTTACATTTGTTCAACCTACATTGTTCAATATCCTATTCGCCAATAAGTAGTTTCCTATCATGATAGTAATAAACCTCATTTGTTATCATTTTAAGTCAATAATACACTAAGCAATTCTGCGCAGATCCGGATAATATTCAGACGTCGAGGATACGGGGTATCACGTGAACGTCGATCCTAATGTGATACACATGTCGATATGAGCGATGCTCGAATACCCGAACAATCTATTCGGGCTAAACAACCTGAGACACGGAAAAATATCCGCAAATGATTGATGAGTGAGCACGCGAATAGAACAAATCCATCGCACGCCCATCAATCTTGGCTCCTACCCTGCAAGCGACGGCTGCGACTGTAATGAAAGAAGAGCTTACCGAGCACATATAAACAATCGGAAAATGTTGTTTCTAATAACCCGCCAAGATAGATGGCGCACGAAATGTCCCGCTTAATTGAGATACCGTCTTTTAAAACAGACGACGAGGAAAACTTCATTACTTATTTACTCGGCGGAGTGAAAAACAAATAAGATAACCAGTAGATACTATATACGCTTGTTTGCACACCAAAGTCTTCTCTAACAAAAAACATAAAATTTTACTAATGTAGGAAAAGGAATGGTGGAATTTACTTTAATTAAAAATTGTTTCGTAAAAGTAGGTTAAAGTTACATAGAATAATTCTGATCTTGCTAAAAGGTTTCCGAGCAATTAATTATTAGTTCTACCAGACCTAGGCGAAGCCTCAGACAGAAACGAGTAGAACATAACTTATTTAAAATTTGGGTTGGCTGCTTAGCACCGTCCACTACTTTCTTTATATATTGAACAAGTAAACTTTCAAAGAATTTATTTTGCAGCAGCTTTGAGTCACGCTATGGCACAGAAATGAAGTTGACTGATCAAAATGATTTTATAAAGACGTATTGTGACTTTAACCATTCGAGTTACCATTCAGTTTTCATAATTTCAACAATGCGGAAATATCTTCCAGTTTCGCACTAAAGTTCATAAATCTAAAATTGTTTAAAGTCGAACCGAGTTGGGTAGGGTTGGGTTTCTATTCACCATTAACTATTGAGGCAGATAACGCTCGACACGCCAGGTGAGCACAAGACAGTTTAAATGAACTCTGATGGATACGAATTCGCCAGTGACTGCTGTGCCTACTATGTAGTTCC